CACAGAATGCAATGCAGAGTTTCTACCAGTAAAGTATTTAGACCCAGCAGCTGGGAACAGGACCGTTAATGTGGAAATATTTACCCACAATGTTGCACAGTGGCAGAGTGGAAACAGCAGAGCTGCTTGCTGCTTCAGATTTCAGACACACAGCTGCTGGTGCAAGGAAATACAGGGAGCAAACAATTAAGCCTACCACAATAAGGTAAATAATGTGTTAAGTCACAACATTTCCCTGATTATTTTAATTTAGTTTTTCAAACTTCTTTATAGCTCTTCTAACTACTTCAGGCTAAATTCAGTCACCAGGATCCTTAAATTTTGCACTACACCAGAAGACAGCCTAAAAGCATGGACAGAAGTTACAGCTTGTCACTATCAGTGACTGAAAATGAAATGTAAGTCCAGGGTCTGACAAGAGTGAATAATTCTGTAACAACCATGTGGTTTTGATGGCAAGGAGTTCTCAGCTGAGCTCAAGTGTGATTTTCACTCAAATCAATCTAAAAATAAACAACTTTAAATAAAATAACTATGTAAGACATGATGTCTCCTTGTAGTGGTATGCCTGCTTGCAGACATGCTGCAGATACGTCTAATATGCAATAATGGTTTGAACCTGAGTGGATTTTGGTAAAGGAATAACGAAATGTCTTTTTGGCCAATTCTAACAGCCCTAACATCATCCTGTCCTTTTGAGAACTGTGGAATTTCAGTGTTACTGACAAAACCCAAGCATGCACACATACACTGCAGGGTTTCCACCAGCATACTGCAAACCCAGAAGCCCAAGCAACTGCAAAGTTTGAATTACAGCCTTTCAAGTGACTGGAATTATAAAGAGATTTTAAAAAACAAACAAACCAAAAACATACAGATGTTGATTTTTTGAAATAAATTAAATATAATTCAGAAACAACTGTGAATCCATCATAACCAGGGGATTCTCTCACATATCAAATCGCAATATTCAATCAATATTTAAGCCCAGTTTCCAAAAGGTGCACAAGTCTTTGTTAAATGATGTAGCAAGGAGTGGCTAAGATGATGATGACAAACGTTGCATGCATAACTACACTGATTGCTCCACAAAAGATAAGATAAGCTTACATGGCTGACTCAGGATGAAGATTAAGACTTAGGCAAAAACACAATATGACCATCAGTAAAGAACTTTCCCACTCTGGCAAGTATGTGCTTGCACAACTTCCTGAAAAGTCATCCACCAACTATTTCTTCATTCATCCTTCTGAAAAGTTACAAAAAACAAGAAAGAAATCAAGCAAGTCACACTTAAGAGATGTGATCATCTGCCTACAATTGAAAAGCGCTAAACATTAATACTTAAATTTTTAACAGATGCCTAAAGGGATATATACTTTCTCTACTTTTATTCTAAGTAGGGACAGAGGGAAGGCACCACAGGCTGTAGCTCACACAATGATAAACAGCACCACCCTAACACCAAATGATGTCCAAATAAATAACTACAGCCTTCAACTAGTCAGTACTTGTATGGCAGTTATTTTAGAGTAACCACCAGTGCACCAGTTGGCTGGTCGCCACTGAACACTGCATGTCTCTTTTGAAGGGAGAGAATGGCCCACCTTCCCCCATGGTCTATCATAAATAAATACTGCTACAGAAATATTTGGACAGCCCAGTGAAGAGATTTGCAGCACTACAAGGCTGACACACAGGACTTCCTTGCCCTACTTATGAAGAGGAAATACATTTCTGTTTTTAATCCAGTCTCATTGCACTGTGGATCTGACGTTTTCTTACAGTAGTTAGATATAAATAAGTTTAAAAAATAAAATAATAATTGAACTATTATGTTTCATAGACTGTAGGTCATGAGATGTTTTTTTTCTTCTTTTAAACACAAGACCAGGTATTGCATGGAAGCTAAAAAGAACACCTTTCATCTCAGATCCTGTCACAAAGCAGGCTAACAATGTTATTTGGCTATGCCCCCTGAGGATTCAGTACAAATGGTAATTGTGTCAATTTATTGGAACGCCAAATAAAAAGACAGATAAATCCACTAAGAAAAGAAGGATTTAAAGTCTGTATCATTACTCATACTTTATAGAGTATTAATTCTAATGCTGAAGTAAACATTAGAGATTAATACAGGCAAAACATTGAAACTAAATCCTGGTGTTCTTTTACCAGGTGGCACTGAAGCTGTAACTTTTGTAACTACTGTAATTAGAGTTCAACACAACTTGTACAACAAAGGACAGGTTTTCACCGCACGGTAAGCAGTCTAGATTGGGTTATGGAGAAATTATTTTACATAGCGTGAATGATCTTAGTAAATTTGGCTGGAGTAGCATTTTAATTCAGCCTCGATAAAGTCACGGACAATCTCAGCAACAGCTTGCAAGTTTATTTACTTGAAGTCCAGCATTTGGGGTGTTCTGAATTCACTTTGCTGCTATTGCTCATCTCTCTTCCTGCGCTGAGTCAGTGACCCCAATTCTAAAGCAGTAAATCACATTAAACTGCAGCAAGACTTGAATCTCCTACATGTTCGCTGTTGTTGCAGTGTTGCCTACCCCATACTTTATATTGAGTCATCACAGTTGTCTTCTACATTCCCACCAACTACTGGACTGAAGTGGAGCAACTGGTTGCAAAAACTGTTTAAGACACTCGTCACACCAGATCTTTAGAAAACAACACAGCACAAGAAAGTGCATTTAAACAACTCAATCTAAAAGAATATCCTGCTTAAAAACTCAAACATTTTACACACCGGTCATACATGAGACCTTTTCTTTTTTCCCTTACTCTTTGTAAGTGACATTACATAAACAATTAATGATAATCTGGCATTACTATCCAGTGTGCACACACTCCATATGTATGGTATAATTTGCAAGGTAAACTATTAAGCACATAAAATAAACTAGTCACAGTACAGGCTGGAAATGAGATTATAAGTGTCCGTTGTAGACGTGCCCCTCCTTATAAATTAGGTCATCAATGAGGATTGGGAAGCTGCTAAACTGTAGCCTCAAAAAAAGTCTAGTCTCGTCAAAAAAAGAAGGAAGAAAAAAAAAAAAACAGACTTCTTTGTGTGAACTATGCCTCAAATTTCACAGGATCTTGGAAAAACCATTATAAAAATGGAAAATACTAGAAAAGGAAACATTTTTATAGACCTGGGTGTTCAGCAAATTCAAAATCATAAAAAAATGTCTCCAAGTAAAAGTAGACATTCCTGCTGCTATAAATAAAAAAAAAACATTTAAAAAAGCAGAAACTCCTTGCTTTGAAAAAAAAAAAATTCACTGGATGACACTAAGACCAACTGTGAAGTATGGTGGAGGTAGTATTATGGATTGGGACTGCATTTTTACTTCAGGGGCCACAATTAAGGCCCAACAGTGACATTTACTCTTACTGCTAGCAGTTCAAAAAGTGATAAACAAAACTGAGTTTAGCCTTCCATAACACTCCTAGTTTCTCATGTGGCCTCTTGGGAAAATTAATTGGCCACCCGCCTTACAGTGCTTGAAGAAACAATGAAATTGACACAGTAATAAGAAAGTTTACAAGAGAATGGCATGATTGAGATCAACAACCTCAAGCTTAGGAGATGTTGGGTGATGACACAAGATAATCACCCAAAGCCAAAAAAATTGAACCAACAATGGAGAGGTTAAAACAGAAGAAAATTCCTGTTGTAGGGTGGCTGTCTTGGAGTCCTGCCCTAAAGGGAACTGACATGCTGTGGCATGGCTGTTCAGCAAAAAAAAAAAAAAAATCCCAGAAAATATGTAACTCGTATTGAGATCAAATAACATTCAAATACTGCCACTAGGTCAACAAGAAATGGGAGCATCACATTGACATTACTTATGTGGGCCACTGAAGTAGAATCAGGTTACAAGAGAATTTAAATAGCAGGGGTTTTAGCCAGTCCTGGCATCTGAATCTTTTTTATATAGCAACATTAACATTTTTTTTTCTACTCTTGGTGAACCGTTACAAAAGCATGACTGGTCCACATGTAGTTTAGGCATAGAGCCTATCCTCTTAATTAAAAGAAGTCAATGTTTATCCTTGTTTTTAATTATCTTGGATATATTCAACTGGGAGAAGGCCAAAACTTGGAATAACCTGGATTAAGATGCACTTTGATTCTCTTAAGGCAGACAAGACTGTTGAAGCTGTATCCCATCATTCCAGGCACTATTTAGAGTCTTAAAAGGCAGGTCAAACCACGTTTCTCAATCTCTCATTTCTCTCCTAATGTAGTCTGTGCTTGTTGAGTGTTATGTAGACATGCATTATCACAATTTATATTCCTTCCTACACAGCAGAGTTTCTCTAAAAGCGTCTGCCTGTGCTGTGCTGCATGGTAGAAGGTCATAAGCTTAACAGTAACAATTTAAAACTAGAGTTATACAAGAGCATGAACTGGTCCTTGAAACTGGTGGCACTGTCTAGTACAGTTGAATTTCTCTCCCCTCCCCCACACATGCGCTTCCTAAGTCTGCATGACAATATAAATATGTATCATTCATGCTTTAGCTCAAACAAAATGACCTAAAGTGCAGCTTAATGTTGTTTGACTTCTGTAGCACATTTCCACCAAAGTAGACAAACTAATCAGTCACCACAATGGGACAACCTTGAACCTCTAAAACTTAAGTCGGTTTAGTAAAAGTAGTCCACATGTCGGCTACATAAGGTTAAGCATGAGTATGTTTCTTTAAGAAAAACAACAATGTAGCAGAAAAGTAGGCTGTTTGAAAAACCATGAACAAAAGAGGCTAAATTAAAAGGCGCAAACGGGAATTTCAACACACGTGTGGAGTCAATGGGTGACTAAGCTTTGTGCCGGCAAGTATCCTCCTAATCAACGCCGTAATCACCAATTTCTCAAAGTCATTATCCTCTTCGCTTTTAACCCACATAAACACACAAGCAGCCTGAATGCAGTGCTGCCCAAAACGGTGCCACTCGACCTTTACTTAGCTTACCTTTTATTGTGAGTGAACTCGTGGTGTCCGCCGCCACCTCTTCCTTCTTCTTCCACAAGGAGAACCTCCAACTTCAGCGAGCTAGCTACGACTTTCCTCCCATTTTGATTACCGTCACATTTCAAGTTCCGACCGCGGGTGTGTGTGTGTGTGTGTGTGACTCAGTGACTCACTGCCGGCTAAATTTGCTGTGCTAACAAAGCGTATTCACCCAGACACGCGCGCGCGCGCGCGCACACACACACGCACAACTGGCGGTAAAGTTGGAATAAACCCGAGTTTCTGTGGCTGAGGCTGCAGGCTACTCTCTGTAGAGTTTCACCCTCACCGTTCACTGAGAACAGGAGCAGAAAGAGACAGCAGCGAGCGCTAAACGGCAGGGAGAGAGAGACGTACACACAGAATAGGAGAGGGAGAGAGAGAGAGAGAGAGAGAAAGAGCACGGGGGCGGGGGGTTGAAGGCTAAACTGTCTTTAATAAACCTGACTATTATAAACACGATCTATTCTGGGGTTAATAATCCAGGGACTGTTTTATCTCATTTGTATCTGATTGGCCTAATTAGCCAAATCAGCAGGCAAAGTGTCAATTTGTTAACACCTTATGGAAAATATAAAGATACACGTGCTGTCTGGAACCTATGTGTGCCATTAACGCATAACTACTGTACACTTTGTATATTTGCGCACGTGTGGATTGAGCAGAGCGTGTATTAAATTTGGACCTCCCCCCCCTCCCCTCCTCCCCCCATATAGATTAGGCGGTATAATTAATACCATTAAAACATGGCTCTCGAGCTTAAGTGCACTATGATATCTTGTTTCAGTTTAAGGACAGTGCGCTGAGACTACAGTGTAGCATGTTGTTGCCTATCTGGCCTCTCGGGGGCTCTTCCCATCCCCCCACACACCGCTATTTTTCGCCTGCCTGGTCACACAGCGGTTGATTAATTCTCCTTTCGCCTTGCTCAGTCATTCAGATTTGGAAAGTAAATAACAAGTTGACATCAGTGTGACACATTCCTTTGGTTACCGTATTTATAGCAATACTTGCGCATCACATATTCCATACAAACGCTACAACTGCTCCAGCCTCAACCGAAATGGTGGTGTATTACGAGCTTTTAGTTGGTTGGCCTGCAAGCATACACGTGCACTTTGATATATTGAGAGATAGGTAGGTTAGAGAGAGAGGTTTGAAGGCCTCATAATGCACAATAGTAGTGCACAATAACCTTTTACATATACAACAGTGATAAAGAAAAATAATAAAATAAAAATATGACTGGTGGTGTACAAAGGTTTGGTGCAAATGACACTAATAAATATTATGTACACTATAACTCTAAGAAACAGCAATAAGAAGGTCTGATATTGAAATGTGTGTGGGGTCTTGGCAGGTGTGTTCACCTGTCATGAAGATGGGAGCTGTTGTACAGTTTCACAGAGCAGTAGGAATGATATTCTGAAGTGTCCTTTATGGCAGCGAGGTTGAATAAGTCTGAGAGAGAATAAGCTCTGCTGCCTCTGTAGTATAGAATGGAGCGGGTGCAGTGGGTGGTCCATGACAGAGAGCAGTTTGCTGGCATCTCTGGCACTAATGCAAGCCCTCAGCAGATAACAGCAAAGTAAATGATCATACTATCACAGATTTCCATCATCAAACACGCCAACATGTTAAAGGATCTTAGCTTCCTCGCAAAGTAGATTCTGCATTCAGATCATGTACTTTTGTTCTTTGTGCAGGAGAAAAAGGCCAACCCCCAGTAACACTTAATTTCTACCAATGTCCCTACAGATTAATTCCGCCAACATATTTTTACATATTCCAAGTCTGAAGAAGCAGCTACATTTGGCTGTTTCATTATTCACAAGGAGTCACCACAGCAGGTACCTCCACATGTTTTATTTGGATGTTTTTACACCGGCTCCCCCTCCAAAGGACTTTGTATCTGCTCCCAGAATCAAACTGGCGATCACTGCACTGTGGAACCACTTACATATACAATGTCTAAAAAAGCTGTAATTACTGTGACAGATGTATGACTAAAACTAACATCCCAGCCTGGGACAATCAATCAGTCCAGAGAAGACAAGGCTATGTGTGGCATCGGCTATGCCTTTAGTGCTGTAAACCTTTCTGTGCTATATCAACACAACTTACACAATATATAAGATACCACTTATGAGCACGTCAGTTATCCATTTAATCAGGGTCATGGCTGAGGCTGCTTATTGTTTACAGACAATGTGTGCTACACATGAAAAGGTATATCCACAAATTCTTTACTTCTATACTGAAGTGACCAAAACCAACAACTAGTTTGTCTCAGTGTTTCTATCCTGTGTGTGCCTCAAGCCTTTTTCATTCCAGCTGTGAATACATGCTCTAAATGCAAATCCGAACAGTTTGTATGTCTGTACATGTTTTGGTTATTATTTGATTACAAAGTTATTTTTGGACCTTAAAAACATGGCGATCTTGTGAGTATTTGTGGTCCCTGGAGGATCTATATGGGACTGACCTCAAATAAACTACACAACCCATGTTTATTGTAATGAAGGAACATGTCAGCCACTGTAATGGTTTGGCTCATTGATTTCCTATTGATTGACTAACAATAGAGGTCTGGAGGCTTAGAATGGGCTATATTTGGCTTGACTGCACAGACAGCACCAGTGGTACAACATCATTAATGTTTTTTTTATGGAATGTGGTGACAGCGAGACACATATGCAGAGTTCCGCCAACTTTCCATTTCCTGCATGTAACATTTAACCTTTTGTCAAATGTTAGTGCACCTTATGGTTTTGACTACCACAAGAGATTGTTGTCATGGTGTTTTTTCCTGTGTACTCTTTTAGAACATGATTATCACAAGAAACAGAGACAGTTACATTTATTAATGCTCACTAGCTGTTACACTTAAAAAAAGAAGACAGTGATAATAAACACACACAGTTGCAGAGGACGTGTAAATGTCCATCTAATATGCATCTTGCGGGACTATGCTGTACCAACAGTTTTGTCTGATTAGCTGATTAGTTATTTAGAGCATTACATATCTGATAAAAGCTCTCCTATCTGCCAAATAACAAAGTCAGGGCCTTTAATACCAGTACGTTTTTAGTAAGATTTCAGCGTGGAAAGGAGGAATGTGATTTCCAGAAAGTGAAAAATTTGAAATTTGACCCATTTATACACTCAGCTTGGGTATATTGCATAGCAAAGGTCCCTGAGATGATGTGGTTACTTTAAGTACTGATATTATTGCTCTCTGAAAAGCCCTGCAAGGGGCACTGAAAATTATTTTCTGTGATGTGGTACGCTGTGGGAGTTGCAGTTTCGCTATGGGTGATTTGCAAGGTACAAAAGTCTCACACTGACTGAACAATATTTTATTATAGAAGTGAAGTGAAAGACTGGAACTTACATGTTTAAATTCAGCATTTCTACTTTAAAGTGGTGAGGCACAATGCAATTTCAAGTGTCTATCTCACCCTATAAGGATGCTTTGAATTTATGTCTCATATGCAGTTCTGCAGTGTTTGCACTTAGTAATTCTTGAAGTCATGGCTGTTGTCAGATTGAAAGTCAGATATACAAAATGAGTAAATAACGGTTAAACAGTTGTAGGCCTGCTTTCAGGGAAGTCTTATTGTTTGCCAAATGAATCATGAAACTCTACAAGCAAATCAATTCAACTTTATAACATACAAGCTGACATCGAGGTGAATCACCTCAAACAACTTTCCGAAAACAGCACTTGTGACTGGGCTTTAGTATTTGACAGTACAGTGTTTCAGCGTAATGTGGTGTAGCTCTATGGAGTTTGAAAGATGCATGCTAAGCAGTAAACTAAAAGCTTTGTTTTGTAGATAACTTTTCAGTTAAACATTGCACTACAGATTCTGTTGTACTGCATCTGATCCCACCACCTGGATTTGCCATCATTCAAGAATGAGACCCTGATCTTATTCTTACATTCCTTCACTTAATACATCTACTCCACCTCGACCCTATGGAACATTCCTCTTTTTTTCCCCTACAAACAACTATCCCTTGGGATTTTGTGCCGATCCTTAAACCAATCTTGTCACACTCTGCTGCAAACTGCCTGAAGCTACAGTCTGATGAAGCTAGAAGGGCAATTTTCTCTGTAAATTGTAGAAAAATTCGGATGAGTTTCTGTGCATATTGTAGCATGAAGGGATGCCTCCATATATTTTTTTTGCAGCTTACTTATGTAACCAAATCCTCCCTTACCCTCTTTAATTGTTTAGTTGCCTATCTCTTCCAACGTGTGTGATTTCATTGTTTATTTCTTATACAAAAATACTATTAAAAATATAAGACTCCTGTCATTAAAAAAAGTTCAGTCTATTAAATTTTAAACCACTGGAGCTGCTTTTGACAAGCGCATCTCAGTACTTAAAACTGTTGCCTTGTGTACGTGTTCTCCTCTGCACAAATGGTCAAACACGCTTCTCAGTAGCTTCGCTGCCTTTTGCCCCTTGCACGTCTTTTACATGGTTTACGGTAGGAGCGTTTCCTGCCATAGAGCTGGGGCTGACCTCCTAACAAAGAACAGGTTCAATCTGCCTCCCCTCCCCCAACGCAGGAAGCTGATGAGGGTCACATGACCTTTCTAGACAGCACTGAGGAGCAATGGTAATATGTAAGGGTGGGGGAAGGGAGCAGCTAGTCACACCAGTCTTGTGTTGTTATTAGGCTGGAGAAGTGTGGGGAAAGCCTAGTCAGTTGCAGGGGAATATCCAGTTGAGTATCTATTTCTCATCGTGCTCTGGTGTCTATTTACATACTGGATTTAGTTCCCTAAACCCTCCTGCTTTATTCACACTATAAAAGGAACACGGGCATTGGACCCGGTCTGGAAGAAAGGGCTCCCTTATTTATGATTTTTGTGTCTATATGTTGATGAATAGACAAACGTACAAGCTTGGGAAATTCAATAGTAGCAAAACAAAAGAAAACAAACAACAACAACAAAAAAACCTTGTGTATGTGAATACACTGTAATACACCTCCTCCTCCTCCACTGTCTCCCTCCCCTCCCCCAATCATCCACACCAGCTAGAGAGAAGGCTTTTTGTGGTGCACTGTTATGTCATAACCTACAGACCTATTTTTCAGACAAAGCAAAACAGACTGCGGGAACAAACATCTCTATTTGCAGCTGAAACACTTTGGTTTCACTTAAGAAAAACAGATGTAACAGTTGACAGAGCGGCGCTCCGATCAGCCATTCCTTTTGAGATCTGCTCCAAACACGCTGCTTAAATATGCCATTTGCTCACTCAGCCGTAATAATTTTCACAAGAAAAACTGACTGTTTAAAAAAGAAAAATATTTGTGTTACTTTGGGA